TTGCATTGAGAGAGGGGCCGGTTGATGATATTAAACGATCATAGCTTCGCAGTGGGTCGAAGGCTATACATAGCGACACAAATATACAGGGCGTCAAATATAAGTACAGGTCGTCTATAACAGGCTCTTGAGGTCCGAGATGATAGTATTATCCGCTAACAACTCCTTTCGTGCCCATTGGATGACACTTACTTTCTCCATTGATATTAACACGATAGTGTTGAATCGATAGCTAATAGTAGATAACGACGTCGTCTCATTCATCAATAGTCTGATACCTTTCGTCTCTTCCTCATTACAACTGTCCAACACAACGAAACTAAACATAAGTGAATTCGCGTCACAATCATAACAGTACTCGTAGTGCTGCTCAACAAGGCTTCTTTCATTATCGGTGCTATGCCATCCCCAAGGGAGGCCTCCGTACCATTAATGTGTCTACACCATTTTAAAATACTATTTCGCCTTTGACAAATTCCATCGGGCGGGCCATCCCAAGACATACCCTATAGTCAGTTCCGCAGGAGCACGTGATAGGAAGATCAATTTCGTCTGTACGACCAAGTAACCTCAGATTCGACGAATTGTGGGGATCATTAGCTTGGGGCAGGTATGCCATTCGAGTACTGGTGTTCAATATAAGCCAGAGTTTTGGGCAGTAATATAATACACCTCGTTGAATTACCGGAGCTACTTCGGTCAGGACATTGGTCTCGAACTCATGCTTCTTGAAAATCGACTGAACCGAGGTAAACATTGGAATGGCATAGCTGCCCCTCTGAGGAAGTCGAGCTCGCTGATGCTGAGTCAAGCCTTCAGAGGGTGTAGCATTAACATCATCGAGGGGGATTCAGTTTCATATTGCAATTGAAAATGTACTCTCTACTTCATCGCGTCATTTCTCTCATTGGAATATTGAGGTTTTATCGTCTTGGCTGTGTGAACGGTTACAAAGATAGTCTTGTATAATCGGAGACTGGTTCGAATGCATCGGACTTCAGTGACTAATTTGAGTGAACTGGACTTCAGTGATTCTGGCGATATATAGATATATGATGATATCAGACCTCCGTGTGACCTTTTAAAGGATTTGTCTCCGTTTATTGGGAGCCTTCGAGACACGATCGACTTCGATATTGAGCGAAGCACAGAATGATATCATTCCGTGGGGGAGTCTCCACCAAAGGTCCTAGAGAAATTCCATCCCAACGTGGAAAAAATCCGGGGAAAGACTGCGCTCCTTGGCGAAGTCTTACGCTGAGGCTTCGACGACTTGAACCATCATCAGAGGATAACGATAAGGAGTAAGGTCATGAGCTACATACTGTTAGGAGAGTGTGCACGGTCTGTGAGTATTACCATGCTGCTAAGTCGTCGTTTCCGTGCAATATCTCCGTTATTTTGAGAGTTACGAGTGCGCATTGATAAAATGGGTTGCACTTGGTGAACTGGTCAACTGGTGAAATGACTCGTGCGACTGGTGAAAAGATGGCCATCCTCCAGAGTCTGGAGTCCTGACCATGAGAATCACTCACCTTATTCCACACTCGTGTGGAGCTACATGCGTTCGGGTTGGGAATAGGACCCGAGACATGCATTCAAGTTCTTAGAGATATCCCCCGGCTCATGGATGCTCTTTGAGGACACTCTGTCCAGTTGGACTTGGGAGGGTGGACACTGTAGTTGGCCCCTGGTGTACTTCACTTGCTCCAATTGACCCGTCGTCCTACTCATTAACTCGAAACTTATCCGCAAATATCCGCGTAATAATAGTGTCAAGGCACAGTGAAGGCAGCCGTGAAGGCAGCAGGATAGTGCACTACTACTGCAGACTCAACCCAACCTAGCGGACTCCACCACGGCCGTCACCGAGTATAGCAAAGAATACAGTATACTACAACTGTCTATCATCGACGCCCACCATCGTGGAAGAGCAGCTACCGTCGAGTAATAAGATGAGCTACTTATGCTATAACATCAACAATAACAACGAGGGGACAGATCTTTCGGACGAATCAAATACTACGTTAGGATGATAACAATAGAAATCATCCAACACACACAATCAACCCTCGACAGCAGCCGACCCCTCAAAACGTAAGGAGTTCCTAGTAGGAATTTCCAACTATCAGGTCAACTGGTCCTTCATCACTATAACGTCATTTCGATGGTCTGGCAGGGGTTATCCTGGCCGCTTTACGACTAGGATTTAAGACGGGTGAATCCATACCACGTGGAGCTAACCTCATCTGCATTCACGAGTACACAATGTTTCACCGATACAAGCCTACCATCGCCTCCCACGTGAGCTGGAGGAACCCCCCTGACTGACCCTCACCCGAGAAAAAATTGCTCTCCCAGAATGTGGTGGAGGCCGGTGCAGGGAGAGCTAAAACCCTAAAGTTCTTTGGAGGAAAGTCGACAGTAGGGAGGTATTCTCCAAAATCATCTCCACTCGAAGAAGCTCGCGTTGACGTACTGCAAATGCTAGAATCGCTACTATGATCGCCCATCAAAGACGATACCATATTCATGGCGAATATCCGGACCTAAAATGAATCTTACCAACACGCCGATAAGATACCACCAACCATCCGCGAGCCAATACCGAGGCGCCGTCGCTGTGGGTCAACCCACGTGTCACGGATGATGATCTCACACGGAGAATTACTACTAAACCTGTCATAACTATATCTCCACAGTAGCAACAACAACCACAACGCCCTACCACATGAAGCCTGATACTCGTGTTGCGGTAGATGTCGTCACGTTTGCATCGAAAATGACAACAACACGATGATCCGGGTCAGATCGAGACCCCGCATCGCGGCGCATCATAGTAAGCATTCTACGCCCTGCCCGTACACACCCTCAAGAGCAAGGCGCCTCATAGACATCTGCTTACATTTCCGAGAACCTTCATCTGAGTTGAGCCGTAGTGAGCCCAAAAGACCACCGTCTAAATGCCACGACAACACTCTTGCATGAAGTGACCGCAAGCGAAGCACGCCAAGCATCTGAACGCGGATGTTATACCAGTCGGGAGAGTTAGTGAGCATTGGACTCCACAGGTGAGGAAGCTGGCGCCTCAAAATCGACGAGTTTTATGTTGGAATCGGCTCGTCGTGAATCAACAGACTACTATAAGGAAGAACATGTTCCTCCTCCTTACCTCGGGAATTGCACACACAGGCTCGTGAGTGCTTTTCTCACTAGCGCTCTTGTTGCTAACTATCGATTTCCGTTTAACTCCTCGAGAGGACTTCACCGTTGGTGTTGGTGGTGATCCCTCCGTTGTCGATGCAGTAGTTGTTGGCGTATCCACTGTCCTCATGTTGTGAGATTTTTGTCGGTTACAACAGACTTTCAGAAACTGATATCATAAATGCTATCCGTCGTCCGCCCAAACTAAACTCTCCGACAACGAGCAATAAAGTCAGGTGATGATATCTGCTCGTAAATATACATGAATCCTCCATCTTGGTATATCAAAGCCATCAGCAACTTCGTCAATTTCGTGGCGCGCGACTTATCAGGCCTCAGGCTCGAGTTTGTATCAATCGTATCTAAACCACTAGTAGTGCTCCTTTCGGTGCCTTCTGATTAGCTCACCAGATCCTCCCGATCCAGCTTAAGGCAACCCGGCAGTGTCGGATCCCGCGTGAAACCAAGAGAAGCCCAAAAGGTCGACGAGCCCTGCAGTGGGTAGGCTACTAATTTCTCCAACGACAGCTTCTCCCAAGTTGGCGGCGCCTTTGCCACAGTCCCCGCACAACTACGTCGTCTCCGTCGGAGGAGTGCAGGAGAGCCCACTAGGAAGACTACCAAATGAACAACCTGGAGCCGATAAAACAGAGTAGATGAATACGAAAGGTCAATCAGCATACCATATCAGACGCAACTCCTTGTCGTCGTTTTCGAGGGGATACCCAAGTGTCTCTAATTATAGCCTCTGTAGAGGAGTTCAACGAGAACCTAATAATACTCCCGCCCGGGATCGAACCTGTGCGGGTTATTTACCATAGAAAGCCCGCTATTGTCTTCGTCCGAGCGCTCTGTTCAAACGTAACGACAACCCGCTGATCTTCAGCAGCCTCTCGACGGAGTGTTGAGAGCATCGACTGCCCTACCACCGTGGAGCTCCAACACTCAGCACGGTCGGGCAGTACTCACACTTTTTACTCCCACATTTGTCGGCACCCAAAATTGACAGTTTTCCAATTTGCACAGCATCAGTCTTGAAATCGAGCAGCTGCAGACGCACACCCCGAAGCCGTTGAGAGTGAACTCCCATATATCAGTGGATGATGACAGAGTCAAACTCAACTGCTGGGAAATCTCCATCGGGGATTTGATACCGAAGCCTTATTATTAGTATTGCGGCATACAATCCTGGAGAAAAAGGAGACAAGGTCATCATCGTCTCCGCCGTCAGTGACGGTCCGTCACGCGCCACGAAATTCCCCTCTTCAGTGAGCAGCCTGCGCCTCAAAGTCGTTGATAGTGAAGAACTCCTCCATAGCGTTCTTTAGATTCTCTTCGGTTGAGCCCGATATGAAATGTGATCCGCTGTGATCGCGTTCAAAACATCCGGATGATTCTGATCTGAATTGTTCTCCAACCACATGGTCTCCAACCTGCCATAGCATACCGGTGTTGGAGGCAATAACTCATGCAGGAGAACGTTTCCCAGGCTTTGATAACAATTGTGCTATACCCGTTTTACGTGAAGTGGTGAAAAACGCGATATTCGCGGCCTGTAGTAGTCGTGAAATATGTTTTTCATCTCACTAGGGTGAAACTCCAATGAAAAAGTTCCTAATGTGATGACTACATTCACATGGGAAACTGATTGTTGAAGAATGTTTTCCTAGCCATTTGAAAGATTCAAAATGAATTCCCCTCGAGAACATTATGAATCCGAGGATGAATATATGTTCACTCCCCTCAGCTGAGCCCAGCATTTTCTCATTAATATTAATAATGTAGCTATCGCAGCAGATGAGTTGAGGAGATACTACTGTAGTCGAGGAAAGTGTAGTCTCCTCACTACCAGTAAGAACACGAATTCGGGTACAAATTTCCTCACCATTATCATACTCGACTATGCGCTGTGCGATATTGTTGAGATAGCCTCGAACGCCGGCATAAATAGTCACAATCTCCACCTCAGTCAAGGCATAAGACCGTATTCTGCTTTAGAAGCTCAGTGAGAATATACCGCCTGTGAATAATCACTTTAAGTCATACCATCTCTCGCTGAAATGACCTTAAACGCTGGTGTTGCGTAGCCTGGCCCAGACCAGAACCGAACTGGACGAAGACCGCAACCTCACGATGCTTTGCTAACTCCAATTTTGAAGTACCAGCAAACTTCATGAAGGGTGCATCATCCGTTTAACGTGAAGTGGCGTAATACTCCATGTAAATTCAAGGCGTATATGTCTTCGATAACACAATTGTTAAATATGCTTTATCACTAGTTTTTTTCATATCACGGGTAAAACTCCATTGCAACGAATATGATGGAAATTGTCAACTCGCGTTTAACGCTATCGCCCTCGAGAATATTTCGGTCACTACACTAAGGTTGTCCGTTTCCAAATTCAAAGCCATGCCGTGATGATGAGAAACAATCAGTCAGCTCGAGTGAGAGCGCGTGTGTGTTCAACCGTGTTGGAGGAGTATATGTTCGCTTACCTCAGCTGAGTCTAGGAGCTTCCTTACTGGTTATGATAAGTTTACTTACAAATTCGGGTAGAAGTAAACAGAAAACTCTATTTCCATCACAATTTCCACAAATGTCACCTACACATGTAGTTGACCATGTGCATATTTCCCCCACACTGGTGTTCACCTTCAGCCCGCAAGAGAACTCAATCATTTCTCCGGCCTGGCCGTTATTGAGACCGTGAAGACCTAAGTTGTTTAGTGAAAGAGCGCAGTGAACCTCAGAGAACTCACGAGCAGTCTCATCAGCGATTGACAAGACGAGATCAACTCCATCAACATCTTTGTGGTCCTTGAGATCAGAATGGGGACACCTGAATGGTGACTAAGATGAAGATGGGTTGGTATGGGACTGACCTTGGCGGCGAAGCGACAAGCACTTGTGTGAAGTGACCGAGGTGTGGTACGGAGACAACTGAGACTAGAGGCAGTAGTTGGGCACGCGCGTGTGATAAGCTGTGATAGCATGATAGGAAAGGAAGGGGTCGACTGCTGAGACCCTGAGGCAGTGTAATAGGGGAAAGCCGTTAGTGGAAGTCAATCGGCGCTCGAAAAAACCCCAAGGTCGTCGGTCGTGAATGATGGGTAGGAATCGGGTATAAGTAGCGATGATGCCACTAAGAGCAGAGCGGACAACGTGGTGAAGTGTCGAGTAGTAGTTGCCCTCGGAACGGACGGAGACTGTTGTTGTTGCTGCCGCACTGGGAAAACTGTCAAGTGCGCAAGATCCTGAGGTTGAGTGGTTGGAAATTATTATACCGGGATTCAACTTTCTTGAGTAGCATCAAGGAGTAGAAGCACTCTTGAAGCTCAAGTGAGGTCTGTATGAACAGACGTTTCACCAGTCCGACCACTCGGCTCGCATTCGTATTATATTATATAGGTTCAGCGATGTAACTGTCAAGGCGTTGGTTCCATCATTAAGTCTGATGATAGATCGGTACGGTGTAATACAATCCGGCAATCGCAACTTTTTGCTAATATTGCGGATTTGCCAAATGCTATAATTCCTGACAGTCTCACTTTTTTGCTCGTTTGTATGTGCTGCTTTCGCAGTTACAAAGTAGCAACCGCATTTACAACCTAGCAATTTCTGGTATAGGTTTTAGCAACCAAATGTTGAAAGTAGCAAATCCAAAAGTGTTTTCCAGCAAGTCGCTCTTTTTTGCTCTTTTTTTGCTGCATTGTATATCTCCCCGGAATGTTTTACACGCTGGCACTTTTGCCCAAGTGTGCTTCGCCCGCACGTTTTCGTTATTTTGGCAAGTTTTGCTCATTTGCTGTTTAATATGTTTTGCGTTGTAATTATGTAGTCTGGCATCTTTTAAGGTTTGCTATTGTGCGATGTTCCTGCATGAAATATACAAATTGGCAGTTGCCGGTATGTGACAACGCTGCGCTACTTTTATGTTTCGGCTATTTGCTCTCTTGTAACTTACGCCCTGCGAGAATATATACTAGCGTTTTGCTCATTCGCTCAAACTCCGTCTCTGTTAGCGTTATTAGCAAACTTGCCCTTTTGCATTATTCGTACAAGTAACATACAATCGAGCAAACATAGCTATGGGATAGAATTTCTCGTTCGATTACGGTATTGCGTCTTATATCCATTTTGGTGCATGTTCATGCCCTGTGCACTTACTAAGTGTCTATCAGAGGTGTCACACCTCGTGTCTCACTTCAAGTGAGTCACTTAGTATCGGGTCAAAGCGTGATAGCACTCTAGTGAGATATATCATTCACTCCGAAGACAGCGCGAGTTATGATCAATGCTGAATACCAAACACATGATTGCTCTTGCACGTCGCGATTGAATCAGATGAGATAACAGTCAAATTGAGTCCCATCTTCGAGTATCCTCTCTCTTTTTGCATCGTATCAGTTGTGTCTCGTGGTTTGGTACGATTGTACGTATTGACGACTCAACAATACCCAGAAGTTAAACCCTCAAGTAGGCATTACGTAAGTATTACGGGCAACTTTGACATTCTGCACGAGAAACATTCGCTCATGGGCAGTGGCACTCATCGGAGCGTCTTCGTGGAGCTATTGTTATGGACTTTGCAGAGGTGTCGAAGGATTGTACAGGGGAAACGCAACACGGACAGAATTACTAAATATGAACTCTACAGCCCCCCGCACACAATATTCACTCCCGGGCACCACTAGAGGGCCTTCATAGAGATACTATTGAGGGTTACAAGAGAAGCATATTGAGAAACGTCCAAATTTTTCTTTACCAATCACCGAGACAGCTACTTGTAGCAACTACAACAGCTGAGCACCACTGAGGTGCCTACCTTACAGCGAGTGCGTACATGGTCGCTAGTCTCCAGTGATGGGAGAAACTACTTCGATTCCCCACGCTCGTCCTCTTTCGACCGCTTCTGCTGCAATTCTTTTGCCGCGTGGCTCTCATACTCCTCCACCAATAAAATAGCATTGTTGTTAGGCGAGTTCTTTCGCACTATATCATCACATCTGGTACCTCGGGAGAACTTGTTCAGCGCCGGGTAGATGCCGAGTGCTAACTTAGCACTGCTAAGCCAGCCTGCCTCTTTCCTCGATAATTTCGATGTTCGCGAGGGGCATCTTTCTGCAATGACCAGTATTTGCTCAGACTACCGAAGAGCATATTGGTTCGCATGCAATAGGCTACGTAGGGATCAGGGTGCGAGTATGAAAGCCACGACATCTCGCATGGGCACCACTGGGGTGCCTGCAATACAGCACTGCACTGCAGATGAGTGATCCGTGTTGATCCAAATAAGTGATCTCGGATCACTCAGTACGAGTGATTCCGCCCAATACGAACTACCATGTAAACACAAATCCTCTCCCTCGTCCTTCTGCGACCATGTGCGAACTGCAATGATGTGGAAAATATGAAAATCCAACGAGCCCTTAACGAATGTAAGTCTTTACTAACGACCTACTACCACTTACAATAGTCCATCCATCATTCTCCCAGTGCTGCAACTATACTTATCTATATCGACAGAACCAAAGAACTTTGCAAAATAGTCACCACTCAGAGACTTCGAAACTATAATGCAATGCTCAACACAATCACCAACAACCCACCAAGGTTCGAATCTCGCGTGCGAAATTTCAGTTTCTTCTTCCGGTTGTAAAACAGCAATAATTTGCTCCATTGCGGGGTTGCCCATTCGTAAAGCGGCAAATTGCTCCTCTGAAAAGTAGCAATTTGCTCAATAGTAGAAGGAGCAATTTATCGGTTTGCCCCTTCTTTGAGCAAAATTGCTCAATTTTGTTACATAGTAGCACTTCACATAGCGGCAACTTTTATATATTCTAGCAATTTTCTGAAATATAAACAAGCAAACGATATTCATTCGAGCAGTTTCTGTTATACAAAACGGCAAATTTGCGTGTTTGTAAAGTGAATTTTGCTACTTTGCTCTTCTGTATATCAGCCATAGCGTTTTTACACACTAGCACAACAGCAAAAGCCGCAGGGAATATACATTCCAGCTAATTAGCACTTTTTTGCTATTTGCTCCTTTGCTATTTTGTAACTGAGCCGATCGGTATAGTGTGTGTTGATGATAAGGACAGTGTTCGATATAGGAACAGACAGATCGGAAAAATGTGGTTCGTTGTGCAAAGATATTTCCACAGTTTAGAAATTCTTCCCAGTGCGTGCAGTAGTGGCCGTAAGCAACAGTTGTTGTTATTGTCAGGCCCCTTCTGTATATTGTTGATGAATATGCTAACATCAACTGCTCTCTTAGCGATATCCCTACACCCGGTGACAGCCGCCTTGCCTCCTACCTACTTCAACCTCACCTCGACAAACGACTTCTGCACCGGTCGTGGTCACCCTAGTGCTATTCTCGATACCATCTCTGGAGCAGATCGTGAGGTGATGAAGCTCATGTGCGAGTACTGGCCCGAAGACAAATGGGGTGCTATTGAGGACTCCGATCTGAACGAGGTCGCGGCTTTGGCCGAGAACGGCGAGCTCGCGAAAATCCGAGAGAAATCAGTGCAGTGGACGAAGGCTGTGCGGTCGAGCTCGAAGTTCTGTTGGCGAAAACTGATGAAAAAAAGGGAAAATAGAAAAGCCATGTGCGTTGGTCCCGGCCTTAGTGGTAATTCCCCCGGTCTCGGGTGGAAATGCAAAAGAAACTGTCGAGACTTCTGTCGAGACGAGTTTCAAAATCACCTAGGGAAGACCAGTCGTCTGTTCTGGTGTAAATGCCCTATGAACGGCAGTTTTGGTCGAATCGTCGATCCCCCTTGTTCCGAAGGAGAGTCCCTTATAATGGGTAAATGCTACAAACCATGTCCGGCTGGTATGCGGCCTAGCCTCATCCCAGGCAGATGCTCTACTGATTGCTCCCATAACACCAACGGTTTGGTAAAGACGTGCGGTCTCGGTTGTTCGCGATCGGCGTTCGAGTGCGGCACTGCAATAGGCGCCATGGTGGCTTTCGTGGGGGCTTCAGTACTTGGAGCCTCTGCTGAGCTCGCACCACCCCTGGCCTCTAGCATCTTGCTGGGCTTGTCGAAAATGATCGCCTTAGTAGCTGAGGTTATTCAAGGCCTCTCTAGTGAGATAAAGAACCTACTACGAGGTCGAGGGCTGAACGTGGGCCGCTTGGTCATGATGGGCGCTATGATGTTCACGTACTTCACTGAGATGGATGCCAATCCTGACACGTTGTTGAAGGGCGCACTGCCGTACTCGGAGTCGATCCATGGTATGATTAACCTGGCTAATCAACCGAGGTCAGAGCGTGTCAAGGTCGGTATTGAAAACTTGATGGGAGTTATTCAAGAGAAATTTAGTGCTGTGAGTGGCAGCATCGTGAACATCTTTGCGGCTTTCTCCCAACCTCAGTGTACATGAAAGTATTGTGGGTGTCCACATACACTGTTCATGTGTTTATGTTCATGTTGTGACAAAACGGCTAGTGTTGGTCTTTCTAGTGTTCGATGGGAGCAATACATGGGAAACCACAAACTCAGTTCGATACGGTGTGCGCTGGCATATAGCTGTTTAGATACTTCAAATTATCTCAAATCATTGTCCAGTAATATCCTCTGTGTATGAAAGATATGAATAGCGCACACAGAATGTATAGAATTGAGGGATAGGATATTTATTACATAGACATTGTTAATATCTTTAACACCCATCAAGCTGTTCAATGCAACGGTTTGGATATAAAACCGATGGTGGCAAGTCGCAGCACTACTATGGCGGATATTCTACTGTAAATCATTATCATCTCCCTATCAGCCCAACCACGTCTGAACTTTTGCAATTTACCCTCAGTTACGACCGCATGGTCTCGATCGCTCCTACGACAACTACTAGTTCTCGCTCACTACATCAATTTAGCATCAGTCCCTTTCGACTACAGAATGCTGATTGTTGGGCTATCGGTGAACTCGCAAGCAACACAATTTCCGTGAACCAGACGAGAAGAAACATACCAGGCGATTTACTTTATACTTTCAGCACGACAAAATCCAAAACGATAACACATAATGAGGAATAGCTCAGTAAAAAACTTCAACATAAGCAGGGAATATATATAGTAGTTCACAGGCGATAATGCCTTCTGTCACGGACAGGGGTAGGCAGTGCCGCTGCAGCCAGGGGAAGCCTCATAACACAGCCCATTAGTAGGACTCTGCAGAAGACCGAAACAGACGGGAATGTCGAGCCAAGTTTTGCAGAAAGACTTCCACTGACTTGCGGAACAATCAGGTACGGAGTCACAAGCAGAGGAGCAGCTGTCGAACGACGTTATCGCGGCACCGCATGGGACGACCTCACTCGAGGCAGCCGAACCCAAGTTATGACATATATTGTCATCACCACAGTAGCTGAAGATGCAGTCGGCAGATGCGTCACAAAGAGCTTGGCAATAACCACCATCGGCAGCTTGGAGTTTCTCAGCGATGATGAGGGCAGAACCGCCGACGGTTTGACGGATAGTCGAGGAGGTCAGAATGGCGAGAATTACAACGGCAAGCATAATTCAAGATTAAAATCTTTCAAGTCTACCACAAGTGAATAGTCGGCATCTCGAGCACGTTAGATGCCGTGTCGTACGAAGCTACAAGGACGTACATTACAAGTGAAACTGCCACATTGTCCCATCTGCACAAAGGCGAGCGATAGTGGATGTCGTCTATCTAATATCCAAAACTGCCACGCTCGGGACGCTTGGGATTTTCTCAAGCCAGGGATGAGTTATGGGTAACCCAACTGCAGAGACAGGTCACATGTGAGCTAGACTTGATTTTCCACAGTTTCTCACGATAGCGATTTTAACGTGAATCGTAATCGCGGGGCTGCACTCAGGTTCTCTCAAAATGCTCCGTCTCTTCCTCTTATCTGTCTGTCTCTGGCAGGTCGCTGCTGATGACCATAAGGCGGTCGACGATTCCGATCTGCCGATGAAGGTCCCCCAGCCTCCTGATGATGTCCCCGAGCAGAAGGACCCTCTACAATTGTTCTATCATCTATTCGGTCATGGAATGAGCGGTGACCACAACGAGATGACAGATTTCATGTCGGGTGCGTTGGGTGACGTCGATGATATTACTGATATTATGTCGGGCGACTTCTTCCATTCTCGCAGAACCACCAATTTTGGAGTTGCTTCCGGTGAATTCAATTTGGATGAGTATGGCAGTGTCGCCACCGATGTGACGGTTTACGCCAAGACGAAGGAGTACACTGTCAACCCTGATGATTTCCGTTACCTCACTGTCGACGTTCACGGAGGGACCTTCGGGCATTGGTTTGGGTACAACCCGACGGTTAAGATGTTCAATGGTGTCGGCAATGTCTACATCAGCGCCTTCCACTTCCGTCCCCTCCCTGTCGAGCCTCATATGATTACTGGTAATCATTCGGTAGACGATGCCGTAACTCCGTCAACCAAGCCGGAGGGCGATGATGATATTCGTGAGGAAGACTACCATCACGTCTCGTTGACGGCTAAGGCCCGGGCTAATATTTACCTCCCGTGGGATCAGACAGCTGTTCCTTGCTTCGGGTCTGCTGGTGGTGATGGCGGCTGGTATTTGATGCACCAATTCAATGACGAGAGGCTCCATTGTGTCGTCTTCGATGGCAAATACAAGACGTGGTATTCAGCTGATCACCCTAAGAGGAGGGATCCTGTGTGGGTAACTTCCGGTGATGTCCTCCTCGCCATGAGGAAGCATTCCGGTTACATGCGGGGATACCGCGTGAAGGCTCTCACTCACGGCCTTCCAATCATCCTCCAGTGGAGGGGAGTCCAACGTGGTATGCAGTCCACTACAGCGAAGATTGAGAACGGCTGCGGTGGCTTTTGCGTCTTTGGTGATTATGGCCCGATGTATACCGTTGACGAGACCTATCGAGTTGACGATGCGACCATCGAGCTCAACTTCGATCACTCCGTCCTCACCGAAACAACACCATACCCTCGTACAAGTACCGAAACGCCGGAGGTGACGGAGTCTTGGGAGCCTACAGAGGCTACTACTGCCGGAGCCCCAACAGAAGCTACTACTGCCGGAGCCCCTATCGAGGCTACTACCACTGAGGCTCCTACCATTGCAACACTCACTGAAGCTCCTATTCTTACTACGACTGACACGCCACGACCTAGCAAGCCCACACGACCTGTCAAGCCCACAAGGCCTCACTGCAAGAACGGCAAATGTGACAATCCCGACACGAATCAAACTACTACCAGCAGCACTTTTGCTGCGGTTACTACCATTGAAGCTTCTATTGCCGAGTCTACTACAACCGGAGCACCCACGGAGTATGTTACCACTACGACTGTTACTCCGCTATTGGTCTTCACAACGACTGAAGTCCCTGTAGCGGCTACTACTAAAGGTCCTGTAGATGCTACTACTGAAGTCCCTGTAGAGGCTACTACTAAAGGTCCTGTAGATGCTACTACTGAAGCCCCTGTAGATGATACTACTGGAACCCTCATAGAAACAACCACTGTGGTCTCCACTGACGCTTCTACTGAAGGCCACATTGGCGCTACTACTGAGGTCCCCATTGATGCTGCTACTGAGGGTTCTGTAGAGATTACTACTGAAGCCCCTGTGGAGGCTACTACTGAAGCCCCTGTAGAGGCTACTACTGTGGTCCCCATTGACGCTACTACTGAAGCCCCTGCAGAGGCTACTACTGAAGGTTCTGTAGCGGCTACTACTGAATCCCCTGTAGATGCTATTACTGAAGCCGCTGTAGAGGCTACTACTGAAGCCCCTGTAGAGGCTACTACTGAAGCCGCTGTAGAGGTTACTACTGAAGCCTCTGTAGAGGTTACTACTGAAGCCCCTGTAGAGGCTACTACTGAAGCCCCTGTAGAGGTTACTACTGAAGCCCCTGTAGAGGTTACTACTGAAGCCCCTGTAGAGGTTACTACTGAAGCCCCTGTAGAGGCTACTACTGTGCTCCCCATTGACGCTACTACTGAGGGTTCTGTAGAGATTACTACTGAAGCCCTTGTAGAGGCTACTAATGGAGCCCCTGTAGATGTCACTACTGAGGTCCCCATTGACGCTACTACTGAGGGTTCTGTAGAGGCTACTACTGAAGGCCCTGTAGAGGCTACTACTGAAGCCCCTGTAGAGGCTACTACTGAAGTCCCTGTAGAGGCTACTACTGAAGCCCCTGTAGAGGTTACTACTGACGCCTCTGTAGAGGCTACTACTGAAGCCCCTGTAGATGCTACTGCTGAAGCCCCTGTAGAGGCTACTACTGAAGGCCCTGTAGAGGCTACTACTGAAGCCCCTGTAGAGGCTACTACTGAAGCCCCTGTAGAGGCTACTACTGAAGCCCCTGCAGAGGCTACTACTGAAGCCCCTGTAGAGGCTACTACTGAAGCACTACGACCTACAAGGCCCACGCAGCCTGAATGCAAGAACGGAAAGTGTGATGATCCTATTACGAAGCCTAACGATACGAAAACAAAGTCTCCAAAAGGTAAGTCTACAACTGAAGGCCCGATAGAGGCTACTACGGAAGCCCCGGTAGAGGCTACTACGGAAGGCTCTATTGACGCTGCTACTGATGCCCCCGTCCTCCTTTAGAGCAGTGCTGCATAAGACAGAGCTGTGTGTTTGAAGGATGATTATTTTTGTGAAGCTACGATGAGTATTCGACATGTTTGTCGACTAGATGCTATTCAATGATCTCCATGAATGGAATGAAGCATCCGTGAACATCGCCGTGTTGAGTGAATGATTAAATGCTTGTAAGGGAAGGAGAGCAACCCATAGAACGCCATGATTGATAGAAACGACAATTTGCTGCCGGGCTACAATTTATATGTACATGAGCACTAACCTTCGTAGCAAGGTGGCAGTTGAAACAGATAGACTCTTCTTCGAACTGTTGAATCTCGATAACTCTGTATTGAGTTGGAGACTTGTCAAGATCAGCCTCCTTGCGGTTGTCACAGTCCTGCTTGATCTTGAACGCCGTAAATACCCACACGTCCTCCATCCCTCTTTCTACCCCACTTGATGTCCATGCTTCCGAGCTGCTTGGCCACAAAACGAATCGATCGTTTGAGGTCGAGCAGACCTGCTTGTCGATTTACACACGAGGCAACAATATTCAATTGCGGTTTATCCTTATCGTAATTGTCGATTGTATACGAGTAGATTTTGTCGAAGCCGAGTCAGACCGTTGGACCCCACAACTCCTCACGAACCAAAAAGCCATTGATAGGGAGTGTGTGATTCCCACTGTTGATATCATTCCATCTATGAAATCTTCTGAATCGAGGGAGTCATCATCTCCTTCAAATGAGGTCATAAACATCAAGCCAATTACCAACAACATTTTCGCCATTCCTTATTGTAGTACATTCGATATAAATCTGAATTTAACTCGATTGTCAGCGGTGCTTTGGCCCTCCACCGTTCCAAGTTACACACCACAGCTGAACACTAAGTACATCCTGCCGGAGTTCTCACTACTCACCTCTGAACGCCCCCAAAAATTTCTTGGCAAGAAACAATCGAGGGAGAATCAGTCTCTAAAACTCCTTCTCGTGAGTTACAGTATTAAAAGTTAGTCCCGGAGATTCTAAGAAGGCATACTTCAGAGCCGAACTGTAGATCAGCCACATCTATCAACACCTGAGCCGCTGACCTCCTTTGGTGGTCAATACTACTGTGAGTAAGTACCATTAGGACGTTATTAACAGTCCAATGGTATCTACCTGGTTACAGTACGATGAAGTAGTTATCGTCATTATACTCGACCACAACGTGATTGTCAACAACTGAGAATTGTTAACGCTGGCCTATCGTTGGAAAGTTTACCAAATTCTAGTACAGACGGTACCCCTCCATACTCGAACAATAAACTAATATCACATATCTCATTATCCCTTTCACTGATGCCTTCAGTGAAGGGATAAAGGATGCATATACCAGTTATATGCAGTAGGAATTCTTCCCCGTTTATGACTATAACAAACACAAGATTTATCGATGTGGAGAAATCCCATCAGTAACGGGATAGATAGAACAGAAAAGTAAAGCCACAATAGGGTAAGCTACCCAAGGAAAACTGATTACTTATACTACAAGGGTGTCTGAATTCCCTGCACGAATTCCGCCTGGAACCGCTCAGCAAATGCACCCGAAACACCGAAACCAGTGTCTACTTCAGATCATAGCGATAGTCTTTGACGGCTCTATCGATGGTGTTGATGAGTACCTTCGCACTGGAAGGCTTACGAACACCCAAACGGATAAAGGTCGGCATGCAGTATCTGATATCAGGTTAGTGACTGAGGATGGACGACCCGAAGAGTTAGTAATACCCGAATTTCCCCCAACGAATCGGTACACCTGCAGCCTTGCACTCGTCGACAATCCCCTCAGCCAGATCCTCCGAACCAGTATCGATCCAGATCCACGACGACCAAGCCTCACCGTGTGTTCCTGATAGAAAACTATCTACACTAGCACATATGGTGAATCAGTGATTCACCATATGGTGAACCACTACTGGTGATTCAGAATCACCAGTCGTCTCAAACATCATCAACCGAAGCCAAAGAGGGGAAAGTAGGTTTAATACCCACCTGGGAAGTTGAGATGTCTAAGTCCTTCAACGATGAAGGATCTCCACTCAATTGTCGTCTTCCAGGTCTTCTTCATGTACTCCTCAGCCTTGCAGCAAGCAGACAGGTAATGCAGCGCCATCACATTTACGGACCACGGTACCTGAAGGTATCATGACGCACAGATGCACGAGTATGAGCCTTACTTGCATCTTCTTAATAGCACTGGCATCCTCTGCAGTGGGACACACAACCGAACCCAGTCTGATACCAGGACAAGCCCAGATCTTGGTCCACGAGTGGATCACATAAACCTAACAATCAACAACTCGTGATAATCTCCAATGCATAAGTAGAGTAATCCATTCAATGCGCTCATGAATCATCAGTCATACGAACGATGAGAGCCCACAAGAGCCTACACTGATGCCTCTAGTTCTCTGTATCTCCTGTATGAACTCCTTCTGACTAGTTAGAGAGTCTGAGCGCCACTCAGGACCCATCCACGGCTGCATAGACTCATCGATCACCACCCAACTGTTATCGTCACACATCTTGCTGATGTACCTGATGGGCAAGTAAGTCATAGCACAACATCATTTCCACTCATAGACCTACTCTTTCATCTCCTCGACATGCATATAGTCGCCAGTGGGGTTGCATGGATTCACGATACTGGTCAACTTAGCGCCACCATCGAGATCAGACCAAGCCAGCTCGTTGCGACCAGCATTAGTAGCAGAGCGACGGTACTCTTGGTATTGGGTGGCGAACGGGCCTAAATGTCACAGAAACTAGACTGAGAAGTCAAGTGGATGGAAAAAGGCACACATGCAGATCCCTTGAATTGTGAAACGGTTGAGAGATTCTCGACAATAATCAGTTGAAACGAAGATTCTCGGCGCTCACCTGGTCTCCATGGACCCTTCGGGGCAAGTCTAGATATCATATCAATCATTTCGCTGGCGCCATTGCCCAATAGCAAGCGAGAGCGAGTGTCAGAACAGTCTTCGGGAGATAGGAACTTTGCTAGATCAGTGATGGCAGGCTCGAAGTCACTCGGAGGGTAATGCTCAATAGCTGACAGAAGAACACCTTCACCGCGCCAGGAGATTGCCAACCTTACTGAGCAGCGCCTCCTTAGCAGCTTCCAGTGCTTCTGGTACCGGCCCGAGTCCATTGGTCGTGACCGAGAAATCCTCGACAAGATTACTAATCTCCGACCACTCCTAACAACAAGAATAATTGCCACTACCAATCAACAACATAATCTACCTGGCCACCATGAGGTGTCTGCGTCTTCAAATCCCACTTGCTCACCTTCTTACTATCATCATCGGGAGATGCCAAGAACTCACTACTAGTCGCTGTAGTCTCAGAGAGGTCCGATCCTCTAGACGGCTGAACACAGTTGGACAATGCAATATATAGACGACAGATGAGGAGGAACCTACACTCTTGTGCAAGGTGGTGAAGTCCTCCTTCTCGACAAGCATCCCCGTAACGTCCCTAGTGTTAATAGTGTTCATGTTGTTGACTGCTTTATATAGAGTGATAGGCACAACGAGCTCTGGTGAAGGATCGACTGATTACTCCGTAAACTTCTGGTTGCATAAAACAGGTTCTCGCTTCCGAGCGGAACCCTGCGAGAACGGTAAGTAAAACTGATGAAGATACAATGTTCACCGAAAACACCCAAAATACACAAGACGATGTGAGCACGAGGAACGTGAGTTCAATACTAGTCCAATGAGGAAGGGGAAGACAAACCATCATATCTCTTCACATGGCGAGCAGCAGCAACATCATCAAGGTAGACCAAGGAGAACGCCATGTCATACTCACCACATACTGTAAGAATCACCTTCCAGAACGCTAGCTTCTTCCACGAGCAAGAGAGACGCCACAGAGCCAATGATGATGGAAGTCAATAAGACGACGACGTTGTTGGTGTTTGTCCTTACTCAGAACCGACAAATGCCTCGGGTAAAATGCGGCTAAGCTCAGGTTGGGTACCGACCAAGCCCGCTGGGGATGGCTGTCGACATGAACTCCAACAGAGGTTTACATTCAGTTGAAGTGTTTCCACTTCTTTCTAGCCTGCTCAGACGCTCCATGCCCCAACAAGCGCACGCGTGCCGCGATCACATTGTGGGTTTGTGACGACACACATCTGCGTCGTCACAACATTATCTGTTACGCACAAAGCCGCAAGATTACTAGACCACAATTCTCGCAAATCATCATAAGTGTTTCTCGGTCTATTATCGAACCCACGACACACGACCGTCCTCACCGTCACAGGAGAGCTCTCTATCGCTCTCAACTCCATGAAAGGCGGTGCACGTGGGCAAGCACTTCGACCGTTTCAAAATGTGCGGCCTTCGACAACAAAGTGCAACGAGGTCCTCCACAACCAACTCATCTCGATGCAACCCGACAACTTGGAGCGAGGCTCCATGTTTTTCACGACCCAAGAATCCTAATAATATCATACGCGCTTCTACGCCCATCGGGACACGTCTCAACACAGCCAGCTGAACAAAGAGCTAATCGATTGCCACGGTGTAGCGAGAACCGCATAATTATACAACACAAGGATTGTCCCTCCACGTCGCCATGAGTGCGGTAAATATCGAGTGCTTTGAGCATTGCAGCCGCTATTGAGGGGACTGCGGAAACTTTGCCAGGTCCAAGCCCGATCAGTCGGAGTGGAGGGGACTTGATGTCTTTACGGAAACTGCTACGAAGATGTTCCAATGCGTATTCAGTGAGAACCTCAGCAAGTCCAGCATGTACTTACTCCAATTGGTGGACCGCTCGACACAGCTTCACTCTCCTGCGAACCCAAGTTCGATTCCTGGCCAGAGTACTTTTCCGTCGTAATAAATGAAGCGACTGGATGCGGGCAGCGGCACCTCTTTTCGAGGAGATATCTGTCTAGCCATTGGAAACTTGAACATAGTCCTCCCGACATCCTCCAGTGATTCACAAATACTTACATAACAATTTACAGGGTATTTATATACACCAACACCTCAGCACCATACTACCGAAAAGCAGAGACAATGTCGAGACAGTCGAACAAGCACCGACGGTCGTGCAATCGGACTGTATATAGCCAACCAAGAGCACGGGAACGGACCATATGAATGCATCATTAGAGACGATATACAGAATACCACCTTATTCTAGTAGTTACAAAGGTGGTTAAATATCAAAACTCTCGAATGCTGTCAATGCTGACATTTGGAGAGCTTCTATGCAGACCAGTCCTATACCTTTACCAGCGCTACGCATCCACACCTTCGAAGCGTCCTCAACCCAACAACCGATCCCGATTGGACCCACTTGGTCACACCAGGAGATATATGTTGGCATAGTTCCAACACCTCATCTCCATGAACACAATCTGTTCACAGACAAAGGTTGTTAACGCTTTCTCTCTTATCTGAGCTCGTTTACCTCCTTCTCAACACCAGCAACCATTTTCTTCCGCCATTGACCTCTCTCTTTTCGGACTTGCCAATACCAACAATTTTAGGCACCTCCGAGTAAGAATTCCTGTCACTCAACTTATGTATTATTACCACATGATGCTGTCAATATGAATACATCTCCTATCCTAAACACAACTCCCAATAGTCATAATTCCAAAGCTTTGCCCTCCTTCCTAAACTCCAGCTCCGCTATGTTGGTTTCGAGCCAGTATGAAGTATGGTTGCACGGCAATTTCTAGTAAAGGCAGCTTACACCTAGGCTATGGTCGAGAGCAACCTAAAATAATCAAGTCTTGTGTAACAGTGATGATCGGAATTACTACATCTTTGCTTGTGCGCATCACCATTTTTAATGAAAACTCTGACTACGATTTCGCTAATTCGCGCTTGAAATAGTCCAGAACCGACGCAACCAAACGAGCTCCGTATAAAGGCCACGAGGGCTCAGCCACTTACTCAACACGGCGATGTTCACGGATGCTTCATTCCATTTATGGAGATCATTGAATAGCATCTAGTCGACAAACATGTCGAATACTCATCGTAGCTTCACAAAAATAATCACCCTTCCAACACACAGCTCTGTCTTATGCAACGTTGCTCTAAAGAAGGATGGGGGCATCAGTAGTAGCTTCAGTAGTAGCGTCAGTGGGACCTTCAGTAGTAGCCTCGATAGAGACCTCACTAGTAGCATCTACAGGGGCTTCAGTAGTAGCCTCTACAGGGGCTTCAGTAGTAGCATCTACAGGGGCTTCAGTAGTAGCCTCTACAGGGGCTTCAGTAGTAGCCTCCACAGCGGCTTCAGTAGTAGCCTCCCTAGGGACTTCAGTAGTAGCGTCAGTGGGGTCTTCAGTAGTAGCTTCTTCAGGGGCTTCAGTTATCGCCTCTACAGGGACCTCAGTAGTAGCATCAACGGGGACCTCAGTAATAGCCTCTACAGGGGCTTCAGTAGTAGCCTCTACAGGGGCTTCAGTAGTAGCCTCTACAGGGGCTTCAGTAGTAGCCTCTACAGGGGCTTCAGTAGTAGCCTCTACAGGGGCTTCAGTAGTAGCCTCTACAGGGGCTTCAGTAGTAGCATCTACAGGGGCTTCAGTAGTAACCTCTACAGGGGCTTCAGTAGTAGCATCTACAGGGGCTTCAGTAGTAGCCTCTACAGGGGCTCCAGTAGTAGCCTCTACAGGGGCTTCAGTAGTAGCCTCTACAGGGGCTTCAGTAGTAGCATCTACAGGGGCTTCAGTAGTAACCTCTACAGGGGCTTCAGTAGTAGCATCTACAGGGGCTTCAGTAGTAGCATCTACAGGGGCTTCAGTAGTAGCATCTACAGGGGCCTCAGTAGTAACCTCCACAGGGGCTTCAGTAGTAGCCTCTACAGGGGCTTCAGTAGTAGCCTCTACAGGGGCTTCAGTAGTAGCCTCTACAGGGGCTTCAGTAGTAGCCTCTACAGGGGCTTCAGTAGTAGCCTCTACAGGGGCTTCAGTAGTAGCCTCTACAGGGGCTTCAGTAGTAGCATCTACAGGGGCTTCAGTAGTAGCCTCTACAGGGGCTTCAGTAGTAGCATCTACAGGGGCTTCAGTAGTAGCCTCTACAGGGGCTTCAGTAGTAGCCTCTACAGGGGCTTCAGTAGTAGCCTCTACAGGGGCTTCAGTAGTAGCCTCTACAGGGACTCCAGTTGTTGTGAAGACCAACAGGGGAGTAACAGTCGTAGTGGTAACATACTCCGTGGGTGCTCCAGTCGCAGAAGACTCGGCAATATAAGCTTCAATGGTAGTAACCGCAGCAAAGGTGCTGGTGGTAGTAGCTTCAACGGCCTCAGCGGTCACATCCGTGGGAGCTTCAGTAGTAGACCAACCTTCTGGGTATTCAGTTTTCGTTTTATCAGGATTCGTGTTGAGATTATCACATTTGCCGTTCTTGCAGTGAGGCCTTGTGGGCATCGTAGGCCTAGTGGGCATCGTAGGCCTAGTGGGCTTGGTAGGCATAGTGGGCATCGTAGGCCTTGTGGGCATCGTAGGCCTTGTGGGCTCAGTGGGCCTTGTGGGCTTCGTAGGCCTTGTGGGCTTCGTAGGCCTTGTGGGCTTCGTAGGCCTTGTGGGCTTCGTAGGCCTTGTGGGCTCAGTGGGCCTTGTGGGCATCGTAGGCCTTGTGGGCTCAGTGGGCCTTGTGGGCTCAGTGGGCCTTGTGGGCTCCGTAGGCCTTGTGGGCTTCGTAGGCCTTGTGGGCTCAGTGGGCCTTGTGGGCTTGGTAGGTCGTGTAGGCTCCGTAGGCCTTGTGGGCTTCGTAGGCCTTGTGGGTTCAGTGGGCCTTGTGGGCTTGGTAGGTCGTGTGGGCTCCGTAGGCCTTGTGGACTTCGTAGGCCGTGGTGCGTCAGTCGTAGTGAGGATAGGAGCTTCAGCGAGAATTGGAATAGTAGGAGCCTCAGTAGTAATAGCCGTGATGACGTCCATTAATAGCCTCGCTGGGGATCCGGTAGCATTAACCGCCTTATGCTCATCAGCAGCGACCTGCCAGAGGCTGACGGCATAGAGAGCGAAGCGGAACATTTAGTGAGAACCTGAATACAAGACAGTCTCCTAATTCATTAACCAAAGTAGCTGCGTAGGGTACGATGAGAATGAGGTTGTTGTGCAGTCGCGAGAGCTAACAGTTTCAGATACGCTTCCTGTCGCGCGCCCAGACGGTTTTATTATGGATTTTTCTCATTGTGCGGTAATCCAACAACACCCTTCCACCATGACTCTCCCGCGGGCTCCAGCCTGAATCGATCTAATTGCACCATTCAATGAAATACCCATTCGCTGGTTATATCCCCGGATATCGTCGCTTGCGATTATCTCCACTCCTTCCTGGTATAGCATGAGTCTCATACTCAATGCAACCTCGATCATGAACCTTCCTCAAAATATCCGCCACATGTAACACATGATAAAGAACATGTGGCGTGTTTCAAACGTATCCCCCCTGAGCATGTCACTCCTCGTCCCAGCAAAAACGTAACTAACAAAACTAAACACTCCGCAATAATAGCAGAAAAACACTCATCAGAAACATCAATCATTCGTTCTACTTAGTAGCTCGGAAAACTCCGTATCTAAAACAAAGCACTTGATATCAAATCCGACTGCGACTAGCTACCGCATCACACCATCCCTGAACGCCTCGTGCATCCTCTCAATTGTAACGATCTCTCGTATGGTCGACCACCACACTCGCGGCCTAAACATCGAAGCCCTGTCAACAGCAGGCTCAAGAGGGGCCATCACCGACCCGCGGATAATAACAGGCCAAGGCCACCAAACGCCGACAAAAATGGAATGTCGCCAACTCGGCAGTGTTTGAGGCGTCCAGTCTGCGGACTCGACTCCTTCCATCGAGAGGGAATTTCTGTGAGAATAATCACAAACACTTCATTTCATGCTACTTACTTTCGTAGTATGTCCTCATACTTCTCTATAGAAATGAACATTGGATGAGACCATTCCTCGTATAGGAACCGGAGTAACCACCTGAAAGTCACCTGTTCATAATCATGTGTGAGCGCCTCAAATCTTCCATAGTTCTTTGAACGCTACATAACCTCAAGCGCTTTGGGTTTTAGGCAAAGATTGATGTAATATCATTTAACAACTTTGCTACCATTTTGTCCTTCTACCACTAATATTATGATATGCAATACCCAACAGAGCGATGCATAAGGTATGTTCATGATTATCGTGTGTGTGTATCTCCTCACATTTCATCTTCCATGGAGTTTCTGTTTACTACATTCCAAGCGAGCTTGTTACCGATATTTTTCAGGTAAGTTTTTATTTAATCATTCTGCTAAATGCATTCACTATCACATTTCCTCTCAGAAATTCCCACTTTTGATGATCCGTCAGAGATTTCCGATCGTCCTTTTCACACCAAGTGGCAACGATTAACCGACCACCAGGCTTCAACACTCGACACATCTCTTCGATGTATCTGAATACAACGCTGATAAAAAAACGTCACTGCGCCACAAAATTATCCCACTTCGCTTTATCAGGCACATGTTCACCGCACTCACAGGACCAGATCAAGTCGTAGGAGGCGTCGGGAAACTCCATCCGGAGAGCATCCATTTTCCTAAAGACCCAGGAATTACCGCGCGCCACGAAATTAACGACGACACCAACTTGAAAGTCACATTATTCAGGCCAGCTTCTCTGCTTAGTTCAGAGGCTCTCTCCACTTGAGCATCAGATAGTGTAATTCCAGTAACCTGATAACAGCAACCCGTATACAATTAGCTCAACGTAGAGAACATAGTTTTCATCGAATTAGAGAAAATAAATGGAGTTTCGAGTTGAACTTGAGCAAGAGACTATTCCGTGTTAATCAGATTGACTCGACCGTCATTGATACACAATAACGAGGTAACCTTCCTACTTGGACAGCTTCACCATAGCGCTTAGCCATTATACGACTACTACCACCAATGCCACAACCAACATCCAGGATACGCAGTGTTGAATCTGAGCCCATACAACTACCGTAAATTCACTTGCTATGATGCATGGTGATTCACTAATATCATCCACGAATGATAACACTATTTTCTGAGCCTCACGATTCGATCGTAACCGCTCCAATTAGCATTCTATCTATCACTACACTCACCTTTATCAGTCATCCCCTTCACTACAGCATCAAAGCCTCCCCACGAGAGCAGGTCGTCAACAAACGTAAACTTCTGTTCCTTGAACATAGTCGTTCTTGCCCTAAACAGCGGGAGGTCACCAAGTCAGAATAACAACATTGAATTTATAATAGTGCAACTCAGATGAAGTATTACGACAGAGAATAAGTCAACCACGAGTACGAGGAACCAGTGCAAGAACCATAAATACGCAAGCTCCCTGTCGCTGCCACGTTCGAGTAAATCGTCCTATGGTCGGCGGAACTGTCGTTCTATTGAATTCACACCAGGAGAGCAAGCTCATGAAGTTGCCGTTGTATAGGAGAATATAGGAATACTTTCAAGTCCATACGAGCTGCTGTTGCTTCAGAATATGAAATAATTTCAGTTTTATCACTCAGTATGACAGCCTAAGAGTTAATTATTAATTCGATTACTATTATTACTATTAATTCGACCAATCCATACCAGCCTACCTCTGGTTCCAACATGTGCACTTCACCAATGCTTCAATGAATCCATCATCGCGATGGAACCAACCCTTAGCCTCATCAGTTGTGTATGCTCCCAAATGTATGTGCTCGCCCCAATACGTCTCCACTAGCCCTACAGTGTAGGAGGGATATATGCACATGGTCAACTACATGTGTTGGTGATTACAATATAGAAATCGTGAAGAAATTTTTGGGAATTGCCCACTGATTCTTTAACATTTCTAGCCCGATAAGGGAGGAAACTGCTGAGCTCAGCCGAGAAAACCAAACATATATTGCAATACTGCCCTACAGTGTGGGGGAGAGGGGGGGCAATACATGCACATGATCAACTATAAGAAAATTGAAACTATGAGGAAACTTCACGAGGTTTTTGTTAACTTCTACCCAAAACCGTTTGGGAATTTTCATAATGCATTAAGAAAACTTACTAGCCCAGCTGAGTGACCCAAACATATATTCCCACACTGCACAACCTACCACATAAGAGACCAGTATCAGCCTACCATCATTCGTCCACTTATCATATTCATTCCCAACTCCACCGTTTGGTCGATACCTGAGCACCGATACAATCTCGGAGTGTTTGAGAAATCTTGAGAACAACTTCAAATTTACAATCTTCTGCCGAGGCCTGTTACCTTTCTGGTTGCGTCTGCGTGCCAGTATGCATATGAACTAGAAAGTTAAAATTGCTCTCAACATTTCTCCAGCAGGGAAATAAAATGTCCGAATTTTTGATGCTTCCAGACCACTGAATTCGATGGACTTCACTGCATTAGAAAATGCCAATATATATGATATATTAATGTTGTTTATCGACTGTCTCAGAAAAAAATGTGAAATTTGCAAAATGCGCGCGCCTGGTCAGTGGCCATAATTTCGCCAAATCAACATAAGCGTATTTTTTCTCGAAAAAAACAATTTTCTCTCTCATCAAATTTTCAGGATTTTGAGCTGAAAACTTCCCTACCAGATCTGGGATAATTTAACCTTTCTTTTTTATAAAAATGTTCCAAATTAATTTATCGGAATTTACCATTTTTCCCAGAAATTTCATACAGCAATTCGAACAGCAATCACGGCAAACATTCCGAGGTGATGGAAATAAACTCGATTGCCATACTCCTTCATAAATCTTGATAATACCAATGACGATATAACTATTAACTATAATATCATATATGAACATCAATAAGAGAATATAGATCTAATTATGTTATAAATAATGATATAAGTATCCTTTCACATGAGTGTACTAATAAGAGTAATGAATAATAACCCAGAATCCATCTCACGGTCGCGATCCCTTCTGCAGCAGTGCTTGATAAGCCCATTTAGACGCCAATGCACAGACCAATACGGCAAGGGAAGGTAGATGATGATGAACAACAAGAAGATAAAATGGTATCAACATCCACATGTTATGTAACCTATACATTATCATCATCAGCAGCAGCAAGCAGTCTACGGCCGATTCTCACCCCGAATACTCCATAGCAGATTGTATTTCTCGTTGTAAGGGTTTGTTCGATCCACATATCAATAGTTGGGCTGTTGGAACAGTGAGAGATGCTAATAATGTTGCTGTTGGTGACAGAGACATCTCAAGTGAGTAATGATTAAAAAACTGATATCATTGATACTACGCGATTTATTCAAATGTAACTTCACCCGAACGGTATCCTATTGTGCTTTTGAGAGGATAAAACGCCAGAATAAACAACTTCTAAAAAATTTCCGCGACAAAATCAGCTGAGCTTACCAGAAACGATTGCCAAGCCACATCGCAACACTCAAGAGATTCTTCAGCGAGAAATTTCAGTGAGAGTGAGAATTGATTTCAAACTGCAAGTAATTTGAACATGAATATTCACATCGTTTTCACCCGGACTTGTGAACTCAACGATTTCCTAATGGTATTCCTACTACTGCTCTCATATTATAAATAATTGTTATAGGCGGTTAATAAAGGTGTACACAATGATTGATAACCATTAATATGATATTTATATATACCATTGATTATATATTCATTACCATTTACCATATATATGTATATAATATCTTAATAATATATCTCCTCTATACGCCTAACAACAAAGTCATCATTCATCTTCCATATGAACTTTCTCTGATCCCCCACAGCTAATACTAAACTACCAACACAGCTAGCTGTCTACCCGAGCAATGGCAAGAATGAAAAATTAATCGAGAAATTACATTTCGCACAATAACAGCTGAAACCGATACAACATAACAAGTTGTTTGTAAATCGACTCCACTCAACAGGAAACCATTTATTCTTCACATCGGTGAACACCATAAATCAAATAAGTAGTACCAAGAGGACAACTACCCCTTCGTAATGGTATCCATATATAGT